TGTCTACAATATCCTTAGTGACGTCCAGTTTTAACAGTGACGAAGGCTATTTCCTCACCCACCAGACGAACTGTCTGTTTATGTCAACAACATCCTCAGTGATGTGCAGTTTTAATAGTGACGAAGGCTATTTCCTCACCCACCAGATAATCTGTGTGTTTATATCAACACCATCCTCAGTTATGTGCAGTTGTAATAGTGACGAAGGCTGTTTTCTCACCTACGCAGACAACCTGTCTGTTTAGGTCGACAATATCCTCATTGATGTGCAGTTTTAATAGTGACGAAGGCTGTTTCCTCACCCACCCAGACAAACTGTCTGTTTATGTCGACACCATCCTCAGTGATGTGCAGTTGTAATAGTGACGAAGGCTGTTTCCTCATCCACCCAGACAACCTGTGTGTTTATGTCGACAACATCCTCAGTGATGTGCAGTTTTAATAGTAACGAACGCTGTTTTCCTCACCCACCCAGACAACCCGTCTGTTTATGTCGACAACATCCAAATATATATGCAGTTTTAATAGTGACGAAGGCTGTTTCCTTATCCACCCAGACAACATGTGTGTTTATGTCGACAACATCCCCAGTGATGTGCTGTTTTAATATTGACGAAGACTGTTTCCTCACCCACCAGACAACCTGTCTGTTTATGTCGACAACATCCTCATTGATGTGCAGTTGTAATAGTGACGAAGGCTGTTTCCTCATCCACCCCGACAAACTGTATTTTTATGTCAACAACATCCCCAGTGATGTGCAGTTTTAATAGTGACGAAGGCTATTTCCTCACCCACCCAGACAAACTGTGTGTTTATGTCGACAACATCCTCAGTGACGTACAGTTTTAATAGTGACGAAGACTGTTTTCTCACCCACCCAGACAAACTGTCTGTTTATGTCGACAATATCCTTAGTGACGTCCAGTTTTAATAGTGACGAAGGCTATTTCCTCACCCACCAGACAAACTGTCTGTTTATGTCAACAACATCCTCAGTGATGTGCAGTTTTAATAGTGACGAAGGCTATTTCCTCACCCACCAGACAAACTGTGTGTTTATGTCGACAACATCCTCAGTGATGTGCAGTTGTAATAGTGACGAAGGCTGTGTTCTCACTAACCCAGACAAACTGTGTGTTTATGACAACAAGATCCCCAGTGATGTGCAGTTTTAATAGTGACAAAGGCTGTTTCCTCATCCACCGAGACAAACCGTCTGCTTATGTCGACAACATCCTCAGTGATGTGCAGTTATAATAGTGACGAAGGCTGTTTCCTAATCCACCCAGACAAATTGTCTGTTTATGTCAACAATATCCTCAGTGACGTCCACTTTTAATAGTGACGAAGGCTATTTCCTCACCCACTCAGACAAACTGTGTGTTTATGTCAACAACATCCCCAGTGGTGTGCAGTTATAATAGTGACGAAGGCTGTTTTCTCAGCCACCCAAACCAACTGTCTATTTATGTCGACAACATCCTCAGTGATCTGCAGTTTTAATAGTGACGAAGTCTGTTTTCCTCACCCACCCAGACAACCTGTCTGTTTATGTCGACAACATCCTCAGTGATGTGCAGTTGTAATAGTGACGAAGGTTATTTCCTCACCCACCCAGACAACCTGTGTGTTTATGTAAACAACATCCTCAGTGATGTGCAGTTTTAATAGTGACGAAGTCTGTTTTCCTCACCCACCCAGACAACCTGTCTGTCTATGACAACAACATCCCCAGTGATGTGCAGTTTTAATAGTGACAAAGACTGTTTCCTCATCCACAGAGACAAACTGTCTGTTTATGTCGACAACATCCCCAGTGATGTGCAGTTATAATAGTGACGAAGGCTGTTTCCTAATCCACCCAGATAAACTGTCTGTTTATGTCAACGACATCCTCAGTGATGTACAGTTGTAATAGTGACGAAGGCTGTTTTCTCACCCACCCAGACAAACTGTGTGTTTATGTTGACAATATCCTTAGTGACGTCCAGTTTTAATAGTGACGAAGGTTATTTCCTCACCCACCTGACAAACTGTGTGTTTATGTGAAAAATATCCTCAGTGACGTCCACTTTTAATATTGACGAAGGCTATTGCCTCACCCACCAGACAAACTGTGTGTTTATGTCAACAACATCCTCAGTGATGTGCAGTTTTAATAGTAACGAAGGCTATTTCCTCACCCACCAGACAACCTGTCTGTTTATGTCAACAACATCCTCAGTGATGTGCAATTGTAATAGTGATGAAGGCTGTTTTCTCACCCACCCAGACAAACTGTCTGTTTGTGTTCACAATATCCTCAGTGACGTCCAGTTTTATTGGTGATGAAGGCTATTTCCTCACCCACCAGACAATCTGTGTGTTTATGTCAACACCATCCTCAGTTATGTGCAGTTGTAATAGTGACGAAGGCTGTTTTCTGAGCCACCCAGACAACCTGTCTGTTTATGTCGACAACATCCTCAGTGATGTGCAATTGTAATAGTGATGAAGGCTGTTTTCTCACCCACCAGACAAACTGTCTGTTTATGTCAACAATATCCTGAGTGACGCCCACTTTTAATAGTGACGAAGGCTATTTCCTCACCCACTCAGACAAACTGTGTGTTTATCTCAACAACATCCTCAGTGATGTGCAGTTGTAATAGTGACGAAGGCTGTTTTCTCACCCACCAGACAAACTGTGTGTTTATGTTGACAATATCCTTAGTGACGTCCAGTTTTAATAGTGACGAAGGTTATTTCCTCACCCACCAGACAAACTGTGTGTTCATGTCAACAATATCCTCAGTGACGTCCACTTTTAATAGTGACGAAGGCTATTTCCTCACGCGCCAGAGAAACTGTGTGTTTATGTCAACAACATCCTCAGTGATGTGCAGTGTTAATAGTAACGAACGCTGTTTTCCTCACCCACCCAGACAACCCGTCTGTTCATGTCGACAACATCCTCAGTGATGTGCAATTGTAATGGTGATGAAGGCTGTTTTCTCACCCACCCAGACAAACTGTCTGTTTGTGTCAACAACATCCTCAGTGACGTCCAGTTTTATTGGTGATGAAGGCTATTTCCTCACCCACCAGACAATCTGTGTGTTTATGTCAACACCATCCTCAGTGATGTGCAGTTGTAATAGTGACGAAGGCTGTTTTCTGAGCCACCCAGACAAACTGTGTGTTTATGTCAACAACATCCTCAGTGATGTGCAGTGTTAATAGTAACGAACGCTGTTTTCCTCACCCACCCAGACAACCCGTCTGTTCATGTCGACAACATCCTCAGTGATGTGCAATTGTAATGGTGATGAAGGCTGTTTTCTCACCCACCCAGACAAACTGTCTGTTTATGTCAACAATATCCTCAGTGACGTCCACTTTTAATAGTGACGAAGGCTGTTTCCTCACCCACTCAGACAAACTGTGTGTTTATGTCAACAACATCCTCAGTGATGTGCAGTTGTAATAGTGACGAAGGCTGTTTTCTCAGCCACCCAAACCAACTGTCTATTTATGTCGACAACATCCTCAGTGATGTGCAGTTTTAATAGTGACGAGGTCTGTTTTCCTCACCCACCCAGACAACCTGTCTGTTTATGTCGACAACATCCCCAGTGATGTGCAGTTGTAATAGTGACGAAGGCTATTTCCTCACCCACCCAGACAACCTGTGTGTTTATGTAAACAACATCCTCAGTGATGTGCAGTTTTAATAGTGACGAAGGCTGTTTTCTCACCCACCCAGACAAACTGTCTGTTTATGTCGACAATATCCTTAGTGACGTCCAGTTTTAATAGTGACAAGGGTTATTTCCTCACCAACCAGAAAAACTGTGTGTTTATGTCAACAATATCCTCAGTGACGTCCACTTTTAATAGTGACGAAGGCTATTTCCTCACCCACAAGAGAAACTGTGTGTTTATGTCAACAACATCCTCAGTGATGTGCAGTTTTAATAGTGACGAAGGTTATTTCCTCACCCACCCAGACAATCTGTGTGTTTATGTGAACAACATCCTTAGTGATGTGCAGTTTTAATAGTGACGAAGGCTGTTTTCCTAACCCACCCAGACAACCTGTCTGTTTATGTCAACAATATCCCCAGTGATGTGCAGTTGTAATAGTGACTGGGAATGAGGCAGTTCGTATTCCCCATTTATAAAATAAACGAAAAGTCAATAATTATGTCTGAACATTTAATACACCAAAACCGAAACAAAACAGTAAATCCAATGAAAAATCCCCGCACTGTACATTCACCTAAAGTGTGAATGTTACTAAGCTTCTATGCTTCCCGATAATGGAAGCAATCTACTAAGTAATTTGTAACTCCTGGCTGGAGCTCGATATGGACGACCCTGTCCTTCAGCAAATATGTCTAACTAACTGCCGATGTTAAACTGATTAACGCTGTCGTCAGCTATCCCCACGAAATGCACGAGATTTTAAAACCCACGTGCATATACGCATAGCGACGGGTGTATTCGGGCGCGCTGACCCAAGCTAAAAACGAAAACATATATTTCCTTCTGTCCATACCCCTCTCCTTGACAGACTCCTGTCAACACAATACAAACAATTCAATCAATACTAATACAATGCTAACACCTCTAGCATCTGCAATAAACTGAAATTAAATACTTTCCATACTTACAAGCTGAAATCAATATAATCCATTAATCCTCGAATATCCCACAATGTTCATAACAAGTTATATAATGTCACAAACAGTTCATATAACAGTTCACAGTCAAAGTTCAAGACTCACAGTTCACAGTTCAGTGTCAATCTTGATGTCACATAATCCAAAGTCACATAATCCACAGAATCTAATGTCTCCACAGAATCCAATGTCACACAATCCACAGAATCCAATGTCTTCACAGAATCCAGTATCACATAATCCGACGTTACAGAATCCACAGAATCCAAGTTGCTGTATCCGAAGTCGCTGTATCCGATGTATCGAAAGTCGCTGTATCCGATGTATCCAACGTCACAAATCTGTATCACAATTCTCAGTTGACCACTCCAGTGGACAGATCTTGTTTGCTGGCCTGGTAATCACTGATTGTCCGATTCGTACACCCACCACACGAACATGTCCATCTCGTCCTGGATATGTCTTCACAATCCTGCCAAGGGGCCACTGTCCTCGTGGAGTGTCCGGAGAAATCACAAGAACGACATCGTTGGCACACAGGTCTCTGCTTGGAGTTCTCCATTTCCGTCTTGGGTTCAGACTTGGGAGCCATTCCTTCATCCAGCGCTTCCAAAAGTGTCTCATCAATTCTTGAATACGTCTCCAGCGCTTTCGTGGATGGTAATCTGTAGTGTCCACGGATTCTGGAGCAAATATCCCTCCGATCTGGCCGTGTAGGAAGTGATTCGGTGTCAGAGGAATCACATCTTGGGGATGAGTCAACTGATAGGTGAGAGGACGCGAGTTGATCAGGGCTTCAGCTCCAGTAAATGCAGTTTCCAGTTCCTCGTCTGTGACATCACCATTCCCCAGGATAGCGAAGATGGCACGTTTAGCCGATTTTATCATCGTCTCGAATACCCCTCCAAAGTGTGGCGAGTATGGAGGGTTATAGTGCCATTTCACTCCTCGATTAGCCAGGGAACGTTGAACAGCGTCTTGATCCAGATTGCGAAAAAGTTCCTTGAGTTCTTTAACGGCACCAACAAAGTTGGTTCCGTTGTCCGATATGACCTCTTGTGGTAGGCCTCTTCGATTTACCATTCTGTAGAAAGCATTTAGGAATGCACTTGTGTCCAAGCTATATGCCATCTCCAGGTGAACGGCTCGAGAAGTTAAACATGTGAATAAACATAAATAACGTTTTTGACGTGCCTTTCCTCTGCCTTGCACTGTGATAAATGGTCCAGCATAATCCACTCCAGTCTGGCTGAATGCACGGAGTGACTTTTGGAGTCTCATTTTCGGTAATGGTGCCATCAGTGGACAAGCAGGTCTTGCTTTGTCCCTATGACATTTAGCACATTCCTTCTCCCATTCTCGTATAGCTTCTCGTCCTGAGATAATCCAGTACGTGCCCGACACAGCAGCCAACGTCTGGTTTGTTCCCAGTACATGTTTACCATCCTCGTGATACTGTTTTATTATGAGCTTTGTCACCCAACTTTTGCGAGGCAGAATTATGGGAAATCTTGCTCCAAGAGGCAAACATTCAGCATCACCTAGGCGCCCACTCATTCTCATGACTCCATTTTCATCTAGTTGTGGCTGAAGTGTAAGGATTTTAGAACTGGAAGGCAACATCTTTCCTGATAGCAAAGCAGCATATTCTACTGAAAATGAATCCTCCTGTGCACGGGCAATGACTCTGTGTTCAGAGTCTGCTATTTCTTCTGCTGTAAGTTCACCTTTCATTCTGTATTCACCTGAAGTGGAACAGTTATGTAAGAATCTGTATACCAAGGCATTGATACGTGTGAGTTTTCTCCAGCTGGAGAATTTCGAAGGTGCAAGTCTGCTCATCTCAAGATCAGGTTTCTGTATTGCAACTAGAGCAACCTGCTTCTTGCTAGTTTTTCTTTCTTTGTCATCCTTTAAGATGTCAAGCGACAATGTTTTGTTTGATGGCCATTCACATTCCGCTCTTAGCAGAAAAGTAGGTCCAGACCACCACAACTGGTTGTTTATCAAACTTGAAACCAGCACACCTCTTGTAAGAAGATCTGCAGGATTTTCTGCAGAAGGTATGTGTCGCCACTGAGTTGGGTTTGTGATACTGTGTATTTCACCAACTCTGTTGGCAACAAAAGGTTTGAAAGTACGACTGTTGTTTTTAATCCAGCACAAGACATTCATGCTGTCTGACCAGAAAGTAACTGTTTCAATCTCAATATGAAGGATCTTGACTACTTCACAGGTAAGTCGGAGACCAAGTACAGCTGCCATCAGTTCAAGGCGTGGTATGCTACAAGCTTTCAACGGAGCTACACGACATTTTGCAGCAACTATCCTGCTAGACTTCTTCCCGTCCAGGTAAGTGTAAACGGAGTATACAACAGTTCCGTATGCATCCTGTGATGCATCAACAAAGGTGTGAATAGATACTGAACAAACCTCAGCGTCAAGACGCAAACATCTTGGCACCTGAACAGCTTTTATTCCTTGCAATTGTACTAACCATTTTGCTATTTTCTGTTGCAGGTGTTGGGGCAGTTCATCATCCCAGTCATGTCCCGTTAACCACATTTCTTGTAATAGTATCTTTGCAGTGATGATGAATGGTCCTATGAATCCTAGAGGATCAAACAGTCTTGCAATTTGCCTAAGAAAACCTCTTTTGGTGGATTCATGTTGAATAAACGTTCCCGCTTTGAAAGTGAAAATATCTTTTTCAGCAATCCACATTAGCCCGAGGGCTTTTACCGAAGGCAAATGACCCTTAGAAAGATCTATTTCAGAAGCTCTATCTTCTCCAGGAATGTTATCTAGCACTTTAAGTGAATTGGACAACCATTTTCGAGCATGCATTGAAGCACTGGACCATAACTGAGTTAACTGGTTGTACAGTTCTATGCCTTCATCGGCATTCTCTACTGAGTCCATGCTGTCATCCATATAGGTGGATTTCATGACAGTTTCTGCAGCCAGAGGAAGGTCTACAGTATGTGTCTTAGCATGTTCCTGGGTTACAAACTGAGCCAGGAAAGGAGAAGAGGTGTTTCCAAATACAACACGACTGAACTCATACACCTCAGGAGGTGAATCTGTATTCATAGATCTCCAGAGAAATCTGTGATATGGTCTATCTTCTGGTGATATTTTGATCTGCAAGAACATCTCTGCGATATCACAAATGAGGGCTACCGGTTTTCTTCTGAACCGTATCAGCACATCAAAGAGATCACTATGAAGCTTCGGACCTGGACTTATTACGTCATTCAATGATGTGTCTTGGTACTTTGCCGAAGCATCAAAAACTATACGGACTTTTGTTGTGGCTTTATCTGGGCGCAAGATTGGGAAATGAGGAAGATACCACACATCTTCTCTTGATTCCTCATGATCTACTTTACGGATGTATCCTTTCTCAACATACCGCGAGATGATTTTGTCATAAGCTAGTGCTGTGTTCTTGTCTTTGGATAATTTCTTTTCAGTGCTAAGCAACCTACGGAGTGCCATATCATAGTCATTTGGCAATGCTGGACCATCCTTCCATGGGATACCAATCTGATATTGGTTATTCTCATAAACTAAGGTATTGTGTGCTTTGTGAAGAGCTTGCTCATCATCTGGTTTAAGGGGTTTAAGAGGAGTCTTAAACTCTTCTATTTCCCAAAACGATTTCACCAGTGAGCATAATTCACTGTCGTTGCTGTACGCATGATATGTATATGCACAGTGTGTTTGGGAGGTAGCCTGACTGTTTAGATTGCCTATGCATGTCCATCCAAGGGGCGTTCTCCTTGCAATAGGATCACCTGTGTCCCCACAAACATCTTCATATGACTGATGCAGATGCAAATTGTCAATACCTATCAGGAGATCAATTATTGGACGTCTCCCAACTTTAGGAAAGCTTATGTTTTCTAAGTGATTCCATTTGTGTCTGTACTTCTGCCAGTCAATTACCTGAAGGTCACCTGTTACCCTAGTTGTAGTCAGTGCAGACATTTCCTCATTCACTCTGCCATCTTCACTTTCAATCTCAAATGTAACAGGCCTTGTCTCAAAGGTTTCTTTCCTACCATTCAAGACACTCACAGATATCTGCTCTATTGACCCCTGCATCCCTAATTCTGAAGCCACATCAGCATTGATATATGACCTAGTACTTGCATCATCCAACAATGCGTTAACACGAATCCTTCTATTTCCGTTCTTCAGCACTACTGGGACTGTCCTAAGGGCTATGCGAGGTTGGTCATTTTCCCATTGCATAGTCGCATGTGCTCTTTCAAAAATACCCTGATCATGACCTTTTGCTTCAGAACTTACCTGAGTATTTTCCCTATTCACAACTGAACCATTTTCCAAGTCCAGATTGCGTTGTGCAATGTCTATTTTGAATGTGTCATCATGTAAAAGCCTATTATGGGTTTTCGAACACCCATTGATCCCACACCTATATGTGTATCTACATTGTGCACCAAGATGATTGCCACCAAGACAGCGGAAACATAATTTCAATTTCTTAGCAGTGTTCCATCTCTCGGAAACGCTCATGTTTTTGAACACATTACATTTCCAAAACACATGCTGCTCACCACAAACTTTGCATACAACATCCCTGTGTGACCTTCTACTTTGTCCTATCTCACTGACAAACGAGCACGATTCTTTTCTTTTACTCTTATCAGAAACACCATGTATTGTCTCTGCAGCTACTGTTTGGTATTCAGCTTCCTGAAGTACCCATTCTCTTAACGTCTCGACTGACTCTTGTCTATCTCTATCATGAAGCCACCTTTGGTACTGAGCTACCATAGATTCAGTCATTTTCTTTTGTAGTGTGGCATACAATAACCCATTACCTAGCTCTTCTACTCTATCTGCTTCTCTCAGACTAACGACTGCAATGTCCAAGACATCGGCAAATCTTTGAACATCTCTAGCAGAGCCTGGGCGAATAGGCTTCAAATTTGTCACTTCTTCTAACTGTAACGCTACTTGACGCCTCCTACCACCATACTTCCTATCTAGACGTTCTAACGCAGTATCATAGGCCACAGCACTATGTCCCAAACCTTGAATTGCTTTCAACGCGTCACCTGCCAGATATTGCCTCAGCTGCAATAACTTATATTCAGCAGTCGCTGGTGCTTGGTCTATGCATGTCAGAAACGCAGCTTTCCAACTTTCGTAAGATTTTACATCACCAGAAAATACTGGGATTGAAACACGTTTAAGTTGTTTCCATAAATCAGTTCCTATTGCATGACTATGCGACTCTGCTACATAACAAGGTGTGCTTTTCTGTGGTTTGCTTTGAAAACAATGTTTATTAGTTGCTTTGTTATGAACACTTGGTTCACCTTCTGCAGATTGTTGCTGAGATTTAAACAATCTAGAAAGTCCCTTACTTGACGTAGACGTTGCATCTGCATTACTATCTAAATGAGCTTGCGCCTGTTCAACTACAGCATTAGCTTCATCTTCAAGATGACTCATTTCTTTTTCAGTTTTAGTAACATTTTCACCCTGCAGATTCTTTGCATACGCTAAGGCCAGTTTTGTCATAACATTGATTGCTTTCACCTGACTTTCATTTACTTTATCTACACCATCTCTTATTTCTGTACGAGATGGTTGATTAGGTGATTCTAGTAGACTGTACAACTTATTTTTAGCTTTGGTGAAGGCTGACTTTGCATTGGTTTTTTGTTGTTTCAGTTTCAAAATGCCCTCAAGTTGTGACTGAGACCCGTTTGGTTCTTGGGGTTTTAACTGACCATGTTTTACAGAGCCTTTTTCCTGTATGTCAGACATAACTGATCAATTGACTTACCGCTTGATTAATTGACTTACCGTTTGAAACCACGCTCTGCTACCATATGGGAATGAGGCAGTTCGTATTCCCCATTTATAAAATAAACGAAAAGTCAATAATTATGTCTGAACATTTAATACACCAAAACCGAAACAAAACAGTAAACCCAATGAAAAATCCCCGCACTGTACATTCACCTAAAGTGTGAATGTTACTAAGCTTCTATGCTTCCCGATAATGGAAGCAATCTACTAAGTAATTTGTAACTCCTGGCTGGAGCTCGATATGGACGACCCTGTCCTTCAGCAAATATGTCTAACTAACTGCCGATGTTAAACTGATTAACGCTGTCGTCAGCTATCCCCACGAAATGCACGAGATTTTAAAACCCACGTGCATATACGCATAGCGACGGGTGTATTCGGGCGCGCTGACCCAAGCTAAAAACGAAAACATATATTTCCTTCTGTCCAGTGACGAAGGCTATTTCCTCATCCACCCAGACAAACTGTGTGTTTATGTCGACAACATCCTCAGTGATGTGCAGTTGTAATAGTGACGAAGGCTGTTTTCTCACCCACCCAGACAAACTGTCTGTTTATGTCGACAACATCCCCAGTGATGTGCAGTTGTAATAGTGACGAAGGCTGTTTCCTCATCCACCCAGACAAACTGTGTGTTTATGTCAACAACATCCTCAGTGATGTGCAGTTGTAATAGTGACGAAGGCTGTTTTCTCACCCACCCAGACAAACTGTGTGTTTATGTTGACAATATCCTCAGTGACGTCCAGTTGTAATAGTGACGAAGGTTATTTCCTCACCCACCTGACAACCTGTCTGTTTATGTCAAAAATATCCTCAGTGACGTCCACTTTTAATATTGACGAAGGCTGTTTCCTCACCCACCCAGACAAACTGTCTGT